ATAAGTGCTCTATCTTGGGACTTGGCGTACCTTCCTGAAATTGTTTGTAGCACTGAAGAGATATGGGAAGGTGCTCGGTGGACAACTTAGAAAGGCATTGGCCCATTTCTTCCGATTGACATTCACCATCAAGAAGTTGAACACTTTATCATATCAAAATTTATAGTCGTCTGTGTGCCGTGGACAAGCTTGCTCTCTGAACGTTAATCCGACAACACGTACGAGACAGCCGTTTACAAACTTACACTCATCAAGAATCCGAATCTTAAAAAGTACTTCCGCATCAGCACTTCGGTGTGTTCGTCAGAGATGTTTATTTCTTTCCAATAAATCTATTCGTTTGTTACCTGTGGCAGTGTACTTTCGATAGGCAAGCAGTCTTGTCTCGAATACCTGAACTCCAATAGCTCTCGGGGTGAACAAGTCGAGTGTCACAGTCCAAATTCGGCATCAACAGCACATACCATCACTCGCCAGCTGTATTTACCTTATATTCCATGGGCATATGCGCACACTGTTTGTGTCTGTATGGCGCCTTGTCCGTGGCAGACGGACAGACCTGTACATCTCAGTGTGCAGTCGACTGGAGGCCGGTTCAAATCCCACCAACACGGACACCACCGCTCTTCTTGCCGAGAATCTGCGATGTCTCCGTGCACACATACAAACCTCGTATTATGGTCCTAGGCTCTGCCCAGAATACATACACGGTCGCCGAATGGCCCAGTCCGGTGTAGAATGTGTATCTTCGGAAGTGTGCCGATACACCTCTATGCGCAAGTTTCATCCGACTTGTCCAAGAACCAGGCCTGTGTAATAGGAGACAGCCTATCAGTAGAATATCAGGTGCCGCGACTGTTTTGGTAGTGTATGTTCTGCAGGAGGCATCATACTCAATTTGATTGCCATACCCCACGACTAACTTCTTTTTGGTATACGTGAGGTACACGGGAAGACATCAGTTGTACGTTTGCAGAGCACTATGACTTGTCAGTGTGCCAGCACCGGTCTTTTCTCCACTGTTCCCAATCTTGGTGTATTGTGGACATTTTAAGGTCTTCGCTACATACATGATGGTAATATACAACTATTGCAACACGAGCCCCTTCCAATGACAACTTAGAATTGTTTTTGAACTATACGGTTAAGTATGGGCAGACTTTAGTACTATATCGTGCCGTGTGCTATGTACATCGCGTTGTGTGTGATATGCATCGGGGTGTTGTCTACACGCTCGACTTCGATGCTAATCCAATATCACATCATCTTTGTTCGAATCCATCCCCTTCGGATTGCGAACCTGGTTTCGGCTATTTCAACTTAAGACTTTAACTTTAAACGCCTGTGTCTTTGAAGCAGAGCAATACCAGATCCACCAGATCGGAGCAATGATATGTATGCGGACAGTACAATGCGATCCTGATTGTCTATAAAATATGCCACACTCGGAAGTGGACCGACCAAACAAGCCACGGGCATAAACGTTTACGCGTGGGGATTACACGCAAACAAGCCACGGGCATAAACGTTTACGCGTGGGGATTGTACGCACACAAGCCACGGGCATATACGTTTATGCGTGGGGATTAAACGCACACTGTGGGAATACAGTGTAGAATCGTATCATTTGCACAGGAATCTAGATACAGCATGTAGATGTGAAGCAGAAACGACATAACTACATTGAACCCACACACGTTGCCCAACACACTGGCAGTGCCGATGCAACGATATACAAGTCAACATGCAACGATATACAAGACAACATGCAACGATATACAAGTCAACATGCAACGATATACAAGACAACATGCAACGATATACAAGTCAATATGTAACGATATACAAGTCAACATGCAACGGTATACAAGTCAACATGCAACAATATACAATCAACATGCAACGATATACAAGTCAACATGTAACGATATATCAGATATACAAGTCAACATGCGACGATATACAAGACAACATACAACGATATACAAGTCAACATGCAACAATATACAATTCAACAAACAACGATATACAAGACATCATACAACGATATACAAGTCAATATGCAACGATATACAAGTCAACATGCAACGATATACAAGTCAACATGCAACGATATACACGACAACATGCAACGATATACACGACAACAGACTTACATTGTATTGCTTCAGGGCGTTCATCTTCGCTGTCTCGTCCTGCTCCAAGTTATTCGCGTGCATTAAATATTGACTTCCGGGTCTGAGGGTTGAGTTCAGTGGCACCCATATGTGAGCAGTTCAGAGATTAAGTTACGGGAATGGGATTTATTTTGCAAAAAAAAATGAACCATTGACAACCAATCACCTGTCGCATCTGCTCATGAGAATCACAGCGTAGTCAGGCCAGAATGTGCCTAAACTCAAGCTCCCAGAGCGATAGGTAGCATTCTCAGTATATTAAGATAGTTAGGGTAGCTAGTTCACTGAGAACTATGCGACGTTTCACGATGAAATCGAAATGGCTTTCACTATTATACCCATACTAAAACAGATAACGCATCTATCTCCACTGGACTGTGCTATGTCGCAAAAGTACAGAACTTGCGATGAAGTGCGAACTTCCAGCTCACATTCACATAATACAGTGAACAATACAACATACTGACATACACGTGAAAATTGACACAGCAACAAACCAATTTGTTAAAAACTGTATATATATATATATAAATGTGTGTGTGCGTGTATTTGTGTGTGTGTGTATTTGTGTTTGTGTGTGTGTGTGTTTGTGTGTGTTTGTGTGTGTGTTTGTGTGTGTGTTTGAGTGTGTGTGTATAC